AGTATTCGAAAAATCTATTCTGTTTGAAGTCCTTTGCATAACTATCATAAACTGTTTAGACGATTGTAGCTACGGATACATATTTAGTTCGTAGGAGCTTTTAGACAGATTAGTTTCAAACAAATGAACACAGTGAAGTGGGTGAAAAGGCAATTCTGGTGTATGACATGTAAGTAAAGAAGGGTAACTAGACGATGAAACTGGTTGACTTCAAGTTTTAAAAAGGCTTGCAATTTCCCCACATCACTACAAGCGCTCCCGTCACACATAAATGATATGTGTAAACAAACTTAATTTGTATTAACAAATGTCTGTTGATTACACTATTCATTCATTTATATCACCCTAACTGCTAGCAACAACAAATCTTCCTAAGTAAGAGTCAGTAAAATTTCAGTCTGATTAAATAATGCTCAAGTCAATAAAATAATGTCCATAGTAGGCTATAAGCGTATTGTTATTCAAATTTAGACTGCCTATTACAAAGCTGTTTGTTCCCACATAGTTTACTTCAGACAAATCAATAGTCAACCTTACTGTAATCAGTGACATAAATTTTCATAGCGAATACATTGTTTTGGCAACCAACTATTTTTAGATTTATAGCTATTTAAAAATGCAGTAACGTCTTATATTCTCAAACACACACGCACTCGTGCATGTAAATACATATATACATACACACACACACACAAAGATAGTAGACTAATGAAATCTGATACAACCAAACATATATGATGCTGAATTTCTCATAATTTTGAATATATGAAAAGAATCAAGTTTATTTCACTCTCCCAATTTTGGTGACAAAATGCTTGCAATTAAATACTTACTGACAGTCCAACGCAGCTGATGTGAATATGAATTAGCTTCCTATATCAACTGTTTCGTTTCGCAGTTATCTTCACTTTTCTTTGTTCCTACTGTTCTCGGCTTACGTAGAATGCTGGTTTAAATGAGTTTAAGTAGGATTTTGTACGTCCAAAATTTACAAAAGGCGAGTGCACTGAGGGAGATGGCTCTCAAGTCGTTGCGCTACAGGAAAATACTGCGTGCTGGTCTCGTCCCGTAAGAGGCAGGGATGGATGTATTCAATTCTCCTTAAAATCAATGTATAAATGCTCAGTCAATGGATGTATCAATCTGTGAATTTTAACCTGACCTAGTTTACTAATACGCTAGTTCTCTAGCCGGTCCAAAACTAGGGGAAAAGAGGAAAGGTCGGGCGTAGGGCTAACAGTACTAAACCAGAAAATCAACTCAATCGCTACAAAAACTTCTACACTAGAATCGAAGAGACGAAATAACGTAGGATAGTAAAAGCCTTCAGGAAGCCTGTCAGCCGATATGTCTTCTTTCGATGCAAGAGAAAATAACGATGGAATGTCTGCACAATGTCTGGAGCTGGGAAGGCTACTTTGAATGCAAAAGAAATGACAAGATGGGGTATAGAAGTGCGAGGAATCTGTGAAAGCAGGTCGAATGGAAGTGGACTCTCCAAATTACTAACTGTAGAGTCGATTAGAATTTAATCAGTGGATGGTGACTAGCAGTGGAATCCAGGACAACGCGCATTTCGTCCTATTTGCAACCCGTCATCTGGATGTGCCTGCATTCCGCAATGAGTGATGATGTTCCCACCGATGCTCGAACCAAGTGTCCATAGTTTCAAACACCAAAGCGTTATCCACTAGGGTCAACAATCTGCTCCACTCATTCAGATGACAACCACGAGCACACCGACAGAGTAACTATCAGGATGTCACCAACAGAGTCAAAAGCTTTTATTCAGTGGGAAGCAATCTTCTCCAGGATCATGAATGACACGAAGATTCAATTCGAAAGCAGGGCAAGTTGCAATTATCCAATGCTACGCGCCTAGAAACAACACAGACGGAGTGGAGAAGAAGGAAGACTTCTACAAGCAACGGCAGACAGTGGTGGACAAGAACCGATTCATGTGGCGATATCAAAATCCCAATAGATGACATGAATGAAAGCCAAGCTGGGCGTGGAGAATACAGGAAGAGAAGTCTTCATGGGTCTCGACGAAATGAATGAGAATGATGAGCTCTTTGGAAACTGCTTCAACACTATGGAGTACCCGAAGTCTTTATCAACTTCATCCAAAAGCAATGTGAAAATGCCACGTGTCGTACCTGGAAACCCAGAGAAGTCTTTGAAGTGAATACAGGGGTAATCCAAGGCTGTCCACTATCACCGACGATGTTCCTGATTATGGTGGACTGATTCATGCGGTTGACTGTAAGTAGGCAGTAAGAAGACAGGGCTACGTCAGGTCGGAAAGTAGGCTGTAGAAGATTCGGGTTTCGCTAATGGCTTATTCCTCATGTCACACAAACTCGAGGATCTGCAGGCGCAAACGAACAAGTTGTCAAAAGAGGTTGGGAGCGAAATTATAACTTCAAGTGAACATAGAGAAGAAGGAGATGATGAAGATACCGGGTCATCACCACACCACCACCAAGCATCAATCACTACCAACGGAAGGAATTTGAAAGAGGTGACTTCCTTTTTTATGTAGACATAATTATTTCAGCTACAAGGGAAACGGATGAGGATATCAAAATCATGATCAGAAAGACAGAGAAGACGTCCATTACTCTGAAATCAGTTTGGAAATCTACTGTACTAAACACTAACATCAGTTCACTTCTACATGAGTCACAAAAAGCATTTCCAACAAGCTGCAGAGTTTCATCAACAGCTGCCTTCGCTAGCTTCATACCGAAGGTCACATGACCAGAAAGAATTAGCAACAAGAAAGTCTGCTGGTTAATATTAATGACGCCACCAACAATAAGGAATCTAAATCATCAGTAGTAATTACATACAAAGAAGGAACCTCGGAAGCCTTACGCAGAATTCTTAACAAGGCAGGAATAAAAATGGCATTCAAACCCACAAACTCAATTAGAAACAAACTTTGTCGGTTAAAGGATCCTGTAGAGCCTTTAAAACAAAACAATTAAGTTTACCTAATACCCTGCAATGATTGTCAGGTCAAATACATAGGTCAAACTAGTAGAACGGGGGCAGTCAGATTAGCTGAACATAAAAACTTAGCAAAATCTAGATTGGTTGATCCAAATAAGATAAGAAATCTTGAGAATAGTTCAGCTATGGCACTACATGCAGTTACGCACAACCATACAATAGGATGACAGTTTTGAAATCTAATGTCACAGGGTATAGGGAGAGATTGATAACAGAAGCTTTGTTTATCGAATCAACTGCAAATACATGTAATAGGAATGATTCATCACCTGTCCCCGATATCTGGAAAATTCTACTACCCCAATGACGACGACAAATAGGAGAGGACAAAGAAAACTATAAAACTCAAGTTTCGAAGTCGTGTGATTACAATTGATATGATTATGAACAATAAATTTTGTTCGAAACGTCATCCAGTAAATAATACTGTTTCACTGTGTGATATCTCTAATAAACAAACTAATATGGAAGAAACTCTGAGGACGAACCTTCGAAGAACCTATTGCTCAGCAAATATGTGGAAGGAAATGTAGGTGGGTCATACGCGTGCGGAAGAGGTCGTTGGATGTCTAAGGGTGATATGCAGATCGTGCGAGATAAAAGCATTTTCCTTTAGGGTTATGTTTTCATCACAAAATCACGTGAAGCCATAATTGTGTCTATGTTACAATCACTTGTCTTCTTCTATCTTACATTAAGCATGGCATACCTCTATAGGGTCGGCATTAAAATTCAGAATATCACCCAATCAGCGGTTATGGATCAAAGGAAAATCAAATGGATAGCGGCAAATCAAGTTCGCATGTATCAATATGTGACTAAAGACAAATGGAAAGAAAATTCCTCTTCAGAGAAGAATCCTACTTATAAGTAGTTTATAGTTTGAAGTGAAAATACATTTGTTTCTTAATTGAGAAAAACTGCATCAAAAAAGCTTACATTGACTCTTATACATAAATTTAATGAAGACTGTAACACAGAGAGGGTGAAAATATTTACATCTTGTTCACTCTGGCTAAATTAGAGTCTGCGGAAGTATTTGGCCTGTGACGTTAAATATATATATATATATATATATATATTAAAAAAAAGAGGGTTGTGGATCCAAATGCTTGAACAGTGAATTCTATGAGACACATGGTATTAAGTGTAATTTATTATAACAGAATCAAATGAGTGAGGTGAGGATAAGATTTACGCATTCCTTCTCAAACTGTGTAGGAGAAAGCTTAGTACGAGTAATTACCGAAAAATGACCATCCTGGTGATCTAACGGAATCGATCGATGCATCGTTACGTAAAGAATAATTTTCAGGAGAATGTAAGGCTAATTAACTTAAGTCGCTACAGAATGGTATTTAGAATTAAAGAAAACAGCTCTTGTAGTTGAATTTAGTTTTGCTTTTTATAAGAAACAAGATTGAAGATGACACCTGTACCAATAGACTATGTGAATGTCGTGTTCTCCTATGATTATTAACAGTCAGACAACACAACACTTGTATTTCTACAGAGCAGTGAATAGTTAGTGAAATAAACAACAAATTTATTCACCAATCAGTAAAAAATTTATATCACACAACTCTTTTCTTTGTAGGTTGAAGTAAGAAACAAGTTGTTATAACACTACACACGAGTAGATGAAATAATAAAAGACAGGTAGTCAATGGAAAATATGTTCAACAAGTTAGCTAACTATAGTCATAAAAGCACTTGTAAGCAGGTTGAAGTTTGTGTACACTTAAGGCAAGCACATACTCGTAATTCTCTACAATGACCTTTATTGATAATAGGGTAGTGAAAAAAGGACAAAACTAAACAAAGTTAGACTAATTGTACTTAGCATAAAGTAGTCAAATTTTTGTAAAAATAAATTTTCATAAGTAAATAAATAAATTTCAGGTACAAAGTTTGTGAGGAATTATAAGATTACAAAGTAAACTGAAAGCCCTGAATACATTGTTACAGAAAAAATTACATTTTTATAAATTCCTCTTAGTATAGTGAACTGCATTTGTCTCACGTAACATTTTTGCAGCTGTCTCCGGCAATAAGTCTCTTTGTGTCTCTGCCAATAATTCGAAGCCTGACATGAACTTTTTCACGGTGGCAGATCTTAACAGAGGAGGTAAATAAACAGCATGCAACTGCCAATGTTTATATTTCTCTTTTAAATCTTCACAAGAATTCACTTCCGAGTACATTGGTGCCTGATACCAACCCATAGAATAAGGAAATTCTGTATTGAACAAGTTGTCATAGCGAATAAGCAACTGTTTCATTACACCAGCAAGATCACGTCTTTCTTCGTCAGTTAGCTCGTTTAACCACAGAATGTGACGTTTGCGTGGCAGGATCATTGTTTCAAATGGCCAACATGCCCACCATGGTACAAGAGCAAGCCAATGGTTCGAACAGATAATTACTCTCGAGTTGGATGGGTTGTTATTCATTTTAGCTTCCTCTTGCATCGCGTAATCAAACAGCATAGGTACATTACTGTGCTGAAGAGCATAATTCCGTTGATTTTTATCACGTCGTGATACTAAAGACGGTAGAAAACCACATGCCCAAATCTGTATTTAAGAAAAAAAAAGGAAATGAAAAATATTGTGTATTTTTTGGATCCTACAGATATATTCATGAAAATGTTCGCGGATCTGGGAAAGAATGGAGTATGCGGCTATAGTTAGTGAATGAAACTGTTTATCTTACGACAAGTTGAAAATGAATCTCATGTACGACAGTAGTACTTTCTTTGGGAAGACGAAATGTGAAAAGTGGAATTCATTTTACCTGAGAAAAAATTTCAGTTTGAGTCAACTTCCAGTTAGTGGGTTGGATATTTTGTTTTACCATTTCGAAAGAGGTTATTTCTCCTTACAAATAGTATCGTTGAAAAGCTTAATCCAAATTTCATATTTTAGGGATTATTATACCCCATAATAAACTGAACTTATCGGACATCTATCCAATACTGTTCATTCACATTCATACAGAATATAACTTGCAGATTATATATTTAATTGTTGCTTTACTATGGAATTTTTTATTTTATTTTTTTCACAGATCAGACATTTTCCAGAAAAGAGATAGACAACTGGGGAATTTAACACGAAGCGATTTGAAATAGTGGATTTGTTATCAAACTAGGATGCATTGGCAAACTGTACGTGTAACATCAGAACACAATAGTATTTGGCAGTATGGTAGCTTATTGGCAAACTGATGTACAAATATAGTGAAATACATATACCTTACTTCGAAATCTCCATTTGCACATGTTCTCCGTATTGTGCTTCTCCTGTTTTCCTTTCATGCCTTCTATGTTGTTTTACAAGAATCTTTCATTTCTCCTATTCGGTATTTATTTCATACCTCTGGCACCTGCCTTGCAGCCATTTCAAACGAAATATCTGAGAAATGGAGGGCCTCCCGCCATATATATATACAGTAGACAACTAAAATACACAGAATATGCACTTATCCTCAAAGGACTTTACAATGGAATGTATAAATGAGCGAATCTAAAGAAACAGGTTGCCAGAAATAAAATTTTGTTATAATTGGACTGAGGGCTAACATTCCGATAAATTTTCGGATATTGCGTATTCCGTAAACAAATTGTTCATTCAAAGCAGAACATCAGAAAACTATTGTAAAAATAGTTGCTGTTAGAGAATTCAATTTTGTAAAAGGGGTAAAGTAATTTGCTGTTTTAGAAATATTTACAAACAATGATATCGAGATTCGTACAAAAGTAAACAGTAAGTATGCAATACAAATTAGTGAAGGTACATCAAACAAAAGTCATTATATTTTTAAGAAAAAAAATAGCATCACTTTGTGTGGGTTGATAAATAATAAATTTTACGTAATTGGTAATAAAGAAGAAGCGAGAATAGGACTATAACTTTTGTACTCATATTTAAAGGAACGCAGTTGGATCAATAATTTGAGGGACAGTTTCAAATGCAGGCCATATGGCTAAGTCGCAGAAAGATGCACAAATATATACATGCTGGTTCGCGGCCGTAGAAAGTGTTTTCCAAAAAACTAATCAATTAACGACAAAACACAACTCACTGATTAACCTGAGTGAGAAATCTACCTTTCGCAGTACTTTGCTGTAGTCAGAAAGAAAACAATCACGCGAATGCCAAATTATATATACAAATCCAACAAACTGCTATCTCGCAGTCTGAAAGGGGTGGGCTAGGTATTTTCGTTGGATAAAACTTGGATAGTAACACGTGTGATTGCTATCTAGACCTGGTAGTCGGGGATATATATGGTCATACTGAGAGGAATGATCGTTCCAGTAGGTTTAAGCACGTCAGAAAGGCCAGTTGGATGATTTTAAGGTAGACAGCACTTGCTACAATCGTATAATTAGCTTACATGACTATTATTCTGAGAATAAAGATCTGAAGCTGTTTTCACTTATTTTGTGTATTTAATCAATGTGTGGTTACTTAGATAGGTGCACTTTTGTGGAAAGTTTTCTGTCGATGCATCAGTCACTCAGTAATACTCACCACTGTGGTGGTGACAACACTAAGGTATGTACTACAAACAACGGACCATCTATGCTACTATATCACTTGGTGGATAAAGAATGAGAAAAAGAGTGGTCCAAAAAACTGTACTCTCCAATTAAGTATATAGAGTGGTTCATACTACACAGTAATGCTATTTCGTTGAGACATAACACTAATCTTTATATTTTAATATTTTAAATAGTTATTAGCACAAAGTACTTGTATGTTCTTAGAGCAATAAAGACAAGATAAATTTTCTTTTCATTTTAGATATCAGAAGGCACAGTGAAGTGGACAGTCAAGAAGAGTCAACGAATCAACCCACTTCCATCAATATTCATTTTTCGTGTGGTGACTTCTTGATAAAGAATTCACATCTCAATATGCTAACAAATCTAAGCTACCTTCGACCGTCTGTTTTCCAACCAGATTCATGAAATAAGACAACTGCCCTCTTGAAATCACTCTCGAATCTATATTTCGAACAGGTCAACAGGCCTCACAAAAACTCTACCATCCTGCACTATAATCCCTGTTATTTTCGTGAGACGAGTATACAGTAATTAAATGAGGTTATATAATTGACGTCGTCTGACCATGGTAGTAAGGTATGAATATTATTTTTCTAGTGTACAGAGACCTAATAGTCAGTCCCCACAACCGTACGGCCATAAATTTAAGGTGAAAGATGCGGTTAAAAAGAGGCACTCATCCTAAAACACGTACTCAAACAGTGATTACTAGCTGATTCATGTACACATTGGTAGATAAAAGTTGCAGTGGCAATAAATATTATTAAACTGATGTTTATCAAAGATAACTGCTTTGGAAAACTACGGGTTAATTGAAATACAATTGTGAAGGAGGAGTCAAGAGTTTACTCACGGTCTACATGCCATTCAGTTGCTTTTTACCTCACTACTGTTCTATCGCAGCATGAACAGAACATCGATACAGGGCACACATAAATTGTCTGTCTGTTTTCAACACAGAACTTTGCACCGATGTGCAGCAGTTCAAGTCACCACACTCCATGTAGCGCACAAAGCAAGAGAAAAAGAAGTTAAGGTATAAAAACTCAGACTGAGGAGAGTAGTGGAATTTGATAAGGGTAGGGTAGAATTAGGTAAAGTGATGAGATTTCAACACTTAAAAAAGAACAAATCGTTGTGTGATAACCATAGAAGAACATAGTTCCAGTAGTCCAGGGATCAGTCATATGATATCCAATTGCTATTGGAGAACATCAAATCCTACTCAGTTTCCAAGTGTTGGTTTTCAGGGATTTCAATGACTTCAAGTTTTAACACGGACGGACTTCAGTTAATTTTTTCATTCCTTTACGTTCCCAGTGAAACATAGGGCTTCAAGCAAGAGGCTTGACGTTTCTGTAGCAGTGTTGATTTTTACAGGATGGGGTTGCTAGCCTCATGCCCAACCTCCTTTCCTCTTTACCAATTTTATTTCTGGCTTAACGAGGTAAAGGAGTGCGTCGACCGGGGATCGAACCCCAGACCATGTGCATGGTCGGCGAGCGTCCTAACCGCTGTGCCACCGAGGCACAACTTCAGTTAATACTCCCTGGTTTTCAGTGATTTTATAAGTGAAGTCAGCTCGTAATCAAACCTGGAATCTCATTCGCCAAAATCTTTAATAGGTGTGAATAGACTTCTTGATAATGTAGGGTTTATAAGAAATGTTAAAAGTCACTTTGTGCACACCACTGACGATAGAAAAACACGCACAGTTGAGAGAATAAAGTAAGAAATTCAAACGTAAACTCCTTGAATAATGTACCTGACAGTGAGGATGCATGTTAGATGAGCCGACAGCTGCGCCCCGATTTTCAAAAATTTGCACCCACTGGTGACTTCTCTCCTTCAAATATGTTTCGGTTATGCGGCACCATTCAGCAATGACGGATAGGATTTCATCTTCTTCCATTAAAGCTAGTGTCTTATGAGAATCTGGATGAAAACATGTGACTAAACAGTCTCCTCGTGCTGAAGAAGACGCAAATAATGGGTTTTCATCAACCGTGTTGAAAATAATTGGATCGTTAGATTTACGATAGCTCTCATCACTTACCTAGAAGATAATGGGTCAAAAACAAAACACTGATCAAAATGACTGAATAAAATGAAATAAAGGGATGCTTCCTTGATCTTCTAGCTAAAGAAATGAAATCTGTCGAACTAATTGGATGGTTTAAGAATGTATGAGAAAGTGAGTGTTTCATCAATGTGGGATAAAGCTATCATTGTGCCTATCTTTACAAAAGCCCAACGTGATGCATGAGATAATGAAGGAGTATTAGTCATTTACCAGTTGCGTTTAAAATATCAGTTGTTCTCAGGCTTTGTAAAGAGCACGAGAAGTCGACTGATGAAGAGCAGGCAAAGTTTCGTTCACGTCGTGGATGTAACTACTACATGTTCACTATTCTTCAGTTGTTAGAACAGCATCACACACATTGCAGACTAGAAAGCGTCGTGCTTTTTATACTAGAGTTGTCTTTAATTAGTTGGATACAACAGTTCTTTGAAATTGTTTGTTAGAACGAAGTGTTCCTGAGAAGTATATCAACACCTTGAAAACCCTGTAAAAAGCATCTCAGGTTGGGTGAGAGCTTACAACCAGCTATCCTCACACCCTCATCTTCGTCGTTTGAATGAAGCAAGAGTAAGTTGTTTGGACTAATCGTAATGTAGTTTTTCATTACTTGGAAGTTCCTTTCGTACTTCCTTTTCATCCGTGGATTGGCGATAACTACTGTGGAGGATTATTTTTTCTAATAGGGAACCTCGGTGTCTAATTGTGTACCAAAGTGCTCTGAGTGACATCCCAGGGGTAAATGATTAGTATACCATCTCCTTCAAAGACTGTATCGCAATCACTGAGTCTCCAGATCGAATGAATAAGAACAGAACTTCAGTATTTTCTGTACAATATACTTCTACCATCTTACTTGTTCATTGTGACCACTGGGTTTAATTGCTCTATCCTAAGAACACTATTTTGTGCGTAAAAAGCTTATGAAGACTACTATAGCTGACATATGCCGAAACAAGCTGATGAACATACAGAAGTTGGGTTTTATGCACTTGGAGATAAGCGATGTCAGTTTTGAGACTGATGATGCTAATTGGCCATACAAACGTCAGTGAATGAAGAGCTATCCGAACAACTGACCCATGTGTTACATTTAATGAGTAAAATCGCTCCGATTTCTATTAGATACATGTTAATTGTTTGCGGCTATATATATATATATATATATATGTATATATATATATATATATATCCTAACCATTTCAGTTGATGGAGCTCCGTTACCTCATCAACCGACTTTCCGCACTTACGCAACACTACGTCTGTCGTCATTATTATCGATAAAATGCCAATTAACACGAGAGATTGACACTGGTCATCAAAAAATGACTAATCTCTTTATATCTCTCACTTTAAACTGCCGTAATTCACGGCCTTAAAGTGAACTTCAAACAATACACATGTATTGTGATGGATAGCTGGATATTACATCTGTGCTGGAGACCAAGTACGGTGGCAAATGCCACACGAGTCTTTTGCATCAATGTTCAGATTTTGTCAAAAATTAATTCATCAGAGTTGATGGTATTCCCCAAACAGGAGAAGTGGTTAATACATTCAAACAATTCACTTTATACCTTTGAACTATGAGGGAGGACGGACTAGTCAAGCAGAATAATCTTACATTTGACAGGCGCAAATTCTGTATCACACCTACTAAGATGTTCAGAAGACTCTTCATTTTATCGTCATCAATGTAGGCAGACTATATTATCTGTAAATTCCAGATTCACAAGACCTTTTCCCGATGAAAAGACAATGGCTGAAACTCGGAATCCATCAGATACATTCATCAGTGATTTATCATGGAACGAAGACAAAAAATGGAGACATTGGACATCTCTGACAGACAACACTGGTTGTCCTGATTTCAGATAATAACTATTCATACATGCCTACACAGCTGCATGAATTTTAGTACAGTCCACTGATAATTAAAATACACTTTCTCAGCAATCCTTTCACAGCTAAATATTGCCACACCATCTTTCGATTGAAATAGAGTCTTCATTTCAAGAAATATGTCAAGTATTGGATACCAGTTAACACACGTATGTCTCAGGATCTATCTAAGAGTGAAGAAAGATCAATACAACTTTGTGCGAGTCTAAGCCTGGCTTTGTCTTCGCGGGTTTTCTTTTCCAGGAGGATGCCTAATCTATAGGACACTGGATCTTACGTACTACATGAGTCGATCTGACACCCCAACCCGGTGATTATTACAAGAGTTGTCCTTTTTCTTATGAAGATTAGGATGATCAGCGGTTTACACTAAATTGATAAAAACATTTCAGAATCCACTAGCTAATACTGTGGTTAATCTAGTAAATAATTTATTGTCATCGTCCTTAAAAACCTATGGAGTTATACCATCATGTCCTGCTACTTTGCCTAGTCTTAAAGTGAAGAAAGGCTTATCAACCTCATCAAAAGTTGGAAGACCAATATACGCTACTCATTCAGATAGGGGACAGATGGTTGGCAGCTGTATACCAAATGAATTGCTCCTCACATGCTCTGCCCAACGTTCCAACCATCTTTTCTCAGAAGTTATTAAGTTTTATCCATCTCGAAAATCATTTCACTTACAATAGGTTTTTGTAACCCATGGTAATAAGCTTAAATAGTTGATAAGTATTATCTACTGTTGATGTCTTATCCATTCCTTCAGCTTTTGTCGTCCACAGCTGTGGTGAAGAGTTTTAGTTAGCTTACTTTTGAACAACTCCGGAGGCAGTTGGGATCAGTCTCTTTACATTAGTCAGTTTGTATGATGATAGAGACGTCCGCTGATATTTAAAGACCTTCGGTTTTAAGTTATCAACGGTCTTTACCACCGCTTCTACAGCAGAAGGGATATGATCCCAAGGCCTACTTAGGATGAGTACTGGTATCATATTGGGGTATTTTTAGCTATTCCCTCACTAGCTGTAAAACTCATGTTCTCATGAAAAAGTTGTGCACGTGGCATTTTCGTGGCTGCTTGTTTTCCACATGTGTTCAGTCGTAGCCATAAACATGACCTACTGGTGCACGATTGACGTCCAGTTAGGAAAAGCGGCAATCTCCTACCAGTTCTCTCCATCAGTAATTTATAGCTAGATGATTTATTTTCGTCTGTTGATAACTTAATTTCCGTGGTCACCAAGTGAGATCATATTCGTCTGTGTGAATAGGAATAGGAGACTGCCTGAACTTGTTCTTAGTCATAAAGTGATCTTAGCAATCAAATCTTTCAAGCATAAAGTGTCTTTTTATATGATCATTTCTTCTTTCTCTGTACGACCAACGGCATTTGATGACAGAGTTAGGTAGGCAATTTTAAGATTAAATATTGCATATTGTTGTTATTCAATGTTGCCATAATTTTAAACCACCGGCTCAGATGGCTTGAACACGTATATTGCATGCCATTACGATGATTGCCACACTGTTGATTAAACCATACACTGAACACAAAAGTAGAGAGTTCATAGAATGGAGCTGTGGTAAAGGTTAGTGTTTTCAGGTTGACATTTGTCAGTCCATCGTTAATACTTAGGCTAAACACAAAAGATTACGAGACTAAATGGGTTGAATAGATATTAATGATACTATACTACGTTGTGAAAAATTCCTGTCATATTAAGTTTGCGCTTAGCACTGAAGAATACTAAACACTGTAACACACAATCGCTCCTAACACTTGGAAATAAGTCTGACAATTGAAACTGTTGATGAATGCTATACATAAGATACAGATGATAATCTTACCAATGCAGGAAAGTCGTTGATAAATGTGTATACGCCCTCATAATCCGGTGTAACGACCCCATTAGCACGCACACACCCAGGGGACAGAGGATTCTTAGCGTCTTTAGTGACAGATTGTTCTGTTGTCATAGATTTACGGTTATCGGATTCTATCTGGCCTTCCCAAGGACGTTGAATTCTCTGTGGAGAAACAATAATCCATTCATCTAATAAAGGATTATACCGTCTATGACCATATGTAGGTGAATTATTCATCTGAAAATAAGGTTCATAACCAACCAAAGATTATTGATTTTATTAATAAAGGTTTGGAATCAAAGGCAAAAAACTCAAATAAATTAAGGTATACAGTTTTATTTCCATTTATACAAACACTAGATGACAAACTGATTTTCATTTTTCATAGGTAATAGATAAAATCCTTTAAGTGGCTCTTTTCCTTCAAGCTCATGTAACCAATTCAAATCTTCTTTCAGCTGATCCTTTAACTTCTTAATTTCGGAATCATAAACTTTAATATCTTCTTCAATTGCCTTCTTCAAACCATTTGATGGCAAGTGAAAGAATTGGTCGGACAAACAAACCCACTGTTGACCTTCTGATCCTAGTTGCATAAGCTTGCGCACAGCTTCACGCGACTTTTGTCGATTCCTGTCATATACTACGCATTCTTGTTGTTTCGCCAATACCATTTCACCAGCTTCTTCTATCTCCTCCAAATGCTTAATCACTTTATTCTGTTCGGTTAAATCCATCTGAATTTTTACTACAATTCTGTAGCAAACAAGAAATACCAGTGAAAAATTATTTTGTTAGTATATAATAAAGACTTAAGAAATAAACGGCAACCTACTTATCACTGAGACGACTGTCACTATGATAGCAAGTTAGGTAAAAGGATACGACAACATTACAGCTTGTGACACTTGTACCTAATTGTGTATAAAAATAATGCCACTGAGCCACAAAATAAACAAGTATTTTGTGTACTAAAATACCTACACGCCCTAATTATAGAACGTCTTGTAAGAGCTTGCCTACCAAGCCGAAATAGAGGTTACATAAAACAAATGAATGCTTATCAGTAAAGCGTCTGAAACTATAATTATCTGAGAACTAGTGTTGACAGAATAAATGAAACTGAAGTTTCCAGTGACCAGGTCGGAGGGTTATATCGATCAATTTTGTCTTACGAAACCGCACACTAATGAGGCAGTATAACCTATGTTCACAACGATGCTCGACGGTATACCTCACCGTTACTCTCCTCAAACTAACGCTAAAATGAGCGGATACTCATAGGGATTACGAAACAATTAATTGTCTAAGGAAACGAAAAATTCAGCTCCTCCTGTACAAAAACAAGTGACAAATGATGCCAATCTTCTGCTCAGTGTAGCAAGCTGTAACGGAAATATATCTTTTGAGGGTGTAAGATACTGCCTGGTTACCGAGACAAAAGTAGGTGGAATGAATGATTCCAATATGAAGCCCACTAGCCGAAAGTCAAATGCATGCAGTAAGAGATGCACTATATATCAAACTGGAAAGTCACTGTGATTCACCTATACAGTAAGTTCGACTGGAAAGAGACAGTTATAAGATGAAAATAACTGGAAGGAAATAACAAAGGTTACCGTAAATTCAGAGTAAATAGTCAAAAACGAGGAAAGATTTAAGTCTCACAAAAATTCCGACAGCGGATACATCCTACTAATAATTACCAAACGAGATATGTTTTCAGTGGAAATTCAATCAAACAGAAGGTTGGTCAAATAAAAAATGCTACATTAGTTTTATTCTCTAGTGAGAAGGCATTAACATTCCATTCTTATCTCTTGTTATGAAAGTCATTTTTCCACTTTTCTTTTCAACCAAACACATTCAGATACATTCATTTTAGACTAAAACAATTGCTGAGCATAAAATCACTTACATCTAGGGCCTCAATAAAAATGTGCAGCCACCGATTCCAACTGAAGTTAGGGATTATAATTTGTTACAATAGTGGCAGCACTAGTATACGATCCAGTTCAACAGCTGAGTACATACTTATACCCAAAATACCTTTCAATCGCAAAAAATTATACTGGAGAATTTCATCCTGTAAGTAATTTTTCTCTGATTCCTAATAAAAACAGGAATGTTATTTTATCTTTCTGGACCATAACAAAAGATGTCTTACTACCATGCATTTTTGACCATATTTGTGGTGATACGAATGGCTAGACAGCTACAAAAATTCAATACAATTACAACTAGCATTAATTCAATTAATTACGGAATGTGCACACGTTCTCTTGAAAAGACGTTACTTGCTAGCTATCACTGTGTGCATGTTGTGAACAAAATTGAATCACTTCTGTTGTATAACAGTTGACAATATCACTTAGCTGACTGACTGCTTTCAACAAAGAACTTTGAACAGATGTGCAGCAGTTCGAGTTGCCACACTCCATGTAGCACACAAAGCAAAAGGAGAGAGTAAAGAGAAATTCAAAACAGAGATAATAAACGGAAATATGAGGCAAAAAGAATAGTAATATGGAAGAACAATATAATTTTATTGGATATCATAAATCACAAGGAGTGGATGCGTCTGCGTCATTGAGAACTATTTTGAGTCATATCACTAATTGTCTGCAATGATTGTTTTTTACCATCCCGTGTTTCCATCAGATGACCAGCATGCCAGCTATTTCGTCTCTCCACTCTGGAGAAAGAGGGTTAGGAAAGATTAACCCCAAGAACTGTACATTCTGATTTACCCTACAGTGGTCCATAGCCGGCGGTAAGTTACTAATAAGGAAGCAACGCTAAAAATCAATTCAAATAGACCGTGTGTAACCGGCGTCAAGAAGTTGTCTCCTAGGCTCTGAGGTCACACAATACTAATTCCCTTTCCGATTCGAGTACCTAAGGAAAAAATCGACTTTCATGGTGTGGGCAGCCGGGAAGTAACAACTACTCGCACATTTCCCCAAGCACACGAAGCTCTCCTGATTACACTCTAAGTACCTATCATTTTACTTTCCTCTTACTGGTAATACTTTCCTACAGACTGATCCTCCATCTTCTCCTCACTTTGAGAGCCAAAAAACTACCAATAGTCCCTTAAAGCCATACTACCAAATTCATGTTGGAGCGTTTAACGTTAGGACACTCTGTCAAATCAGACAGCAAGCATAAATGGCGAGAACTCTGCCATCCCAAGCCATGGTTGTATGTTATGTTTTGGAGACACGCATAACACACCCAAGTGTGGTTGTTCGCTTAGCGTCACCTGGCCAACAGGGTGAATTCGCGAAATTCTACGGCTAGTCTCGGGGGACTTGTAGGGGTAGGGAAGGAAAATCAGTGCTCAAGTGGATCTCAGTGAATAGTCGCACGTGTGATGTTCATCTGAACGAATCAGTTAGAAGGGGAAGGACTGTGTTACCCGTCGATGTTTTTCCATAATCTCTACCTACGCCCCAAACGACTGCACCACCAACTGGTGAAATGACTCAAAATAGTTCTCAGTGGCGCAGATGCATTCATTCTTTGTGATCTATCACATTCAGTAAAACTCTATTGTTTCTCCATGATACTATCCTTTCTCTTTCAAATTTCTGTTAAATATCCTTCTTTCGGATATCTTTTTTCTCTTTTGTCTTTCTTTGTGTGCTTCATAGAGTATGGCAACTCGAACTGCTGCACTTATATACAAAGTTATATGTTGAAACCAGTCAGTCAGGACTCTAAAGAAATAAAATTAATGCTTCAGGAGGATTCTATAAATATCGAAATTATTCTGTTTTAGGGGACAAATTGTGTTGATTACAAACAATTTTGACAATCTCTTAAGTAAAAACATGGAAACATGTGTGACTGGAATTTATAATGTTAAACTGCAGTAGGAAAGATACATAGTGATAGGATTGGTTTGTTCTGATGGACAAGTGCAACATGACATCACGATATATATATAGGCTGAAGGAAGCTAATCATGACCAACGTAGACCACAAAATCAGTACATGTGACTGTGATACATGCGATCTTGTAATATTAGATAGTAGCTAAATTAATAAAGATTTGAGTTACATCACAATGCATACATTTCACTTCATGAATGAACCACAGAAGTTTTAGTTGATTCAGGCAGAAAATTCATAACGGTATAGAGAACTTGGTTAACAGTTTACAATTTGATTGGAGATATGCAGCAGTGAAACTCAGGACAAACGATACACCCTATTTTGAGATCCATCATCTCAATGTGTTTGAATTCCAGGGAAAAGCAGTGTTTCCACTGCAACTTAAATCTTATAAGCATCATTAAGACATCGTCAACTTTGCTACTGAACCCCGAAAGTCACCTCTTGAGCGATGTGTATTATTGACTACTAGGTGGTAGCAAGAATTTCTGAAAGAAGAGCGAACTATTAGATCTAAAAAATAAACTTTAAGAAATAAAAAATATCAGCAAACAATGAAATGGATTATTTTACCAACTACCCGTTCTCGCATCTTGCCAAAGGTGGATTTGTGTCATGACTCCCTAACTGTTTCAGTGACTTAAACCCATGTCACTGAAGTAAACGAAGTGTTTGCCTAACCAAACTCTGTCTGTCTGTCTGGATTCAACATAGAACTTGGCACCGAAGTGCAGCAGTTCGAGTTACCTAACCAAACGATAATAAACAATAGGAAATGTTTACATTGTTATAAAACAGAAGTCTTTCAGAATCTGATATACAGTAGGATACAAACTAATACGTGCAGACAATAATTAAAAACTATATGAATTTTAGTACTGCTGACAATCAAGCATCTTTACTCTCGTGGGGCTAGTGCTATCTCATTACAAAAACGTTTACAGATGGGATGGAGTTTTGATAAGTGTGTTTACTGAAAATTAAACGACTGCGCCGGCAAGCCACGGTATCACACAAGCAAATGGCATAAGTTTATATCTGAATACAAACATCAACACACTAATGGTGAAGTATACCTGTACATTTTGTGAAGTGCGCTTAAATTAAAACGCATACTATGATAGAAGTAAGAACCCTAATCAGATTTTATACGCATATGGAAGGAAATCAAACCCTCTAAGCAACAACTCACAACCAGTCAATTAAGAATGAGAGAAAAAAAATACTAAATCAACATTCAGCCAGTGTAAAGTGTTGCAATGTAGTTCACTGGCATAGGCACTAGATTTTATCACTAGGTCCATGATTTCAATCCTAGTTTACTGTAAGGTAGTCAGGATAAAAAAGGGTTATGAAGCAAGAAGGAAAATGATTCCGATTCAGATAATAAGGAAAGAAGGCTCTTTTGGTATGTGTTAATCCTTGAAATCTATACCTCTGCAGAAATCTAATTTATCTTTGAAAGCGTTCACCGATGGAGCTGATACTACTGAATCAAGTAAGGAGTTCCAGTCGTTGACCACTCTGTGAGAGAATCTAAATTCCACACGTATTCTATTCGACCTCGGTTTGAGCACCTTTTTATGGTGACCCCGTAAATGTATCCTAGAGGGAGAGAAAAGATTAGAAAGGTAAGTCCCTAAATTACCTTTTAATATACGCTATGCCAAAATTAAGTCTCTTCTCTTCCTTCGCATGATAACGGGAAGAGATTTAAATGCTCCATCCTCTTATCATAAGGAAGTTGTGAGATACCACTAACTGATTTCGTTCCTACCCTCTGTACTCTTTCCAGGATATGTGCCTCCTTCTTGAAACATGAACTGACCGCTTGTATGCAGCATTCTAGATGAGGCCCGACATATGTTGCATACAGAACTTGGAACATAGACCCGTCTAATCGTTTGAAAGCCCTTCGAAGTACCCATAGCATTTGAAAAGCCTTAGCTGCGGCTGCATGGCAATTTGCAGTTGTTTTCAAATCACTGCTGACAATGATCCTTAGGTCCTTCTGTCCGTTAACATGAGGTAGTTCTGTGTCCCCAAGGGAGTACGGTTTATAAGACTTGCGTCTCCACTTCCTTGAGATTGTGATGAAGTTTTTCTGGTTTGTGGTGTGTCCGTCAGGCGAAATCCATGTTGTCTTGTGTATATCCTTGTGCTCATACACACTGCCTCCGACTACCAAATCATTGGAAGCGCTGAAGTTTGCGAATAATTCTCCGTTTTCATTCATTTCGCCGAGCGATAGCCTCTCGACCCATGATGAATTCTCTTCCTGTATTATCTGTTTCCAGTTTGGTATTCTTATGGTTCATAGGGATTTTGATGTCTCGATTCAGGAGGTTGTCCATCTCTGTTTGTATCTGTCAACCCTACTTTGATTCAGCTTTCGTTAAGCTGTCCTTAGCCAAAAATTTAACGTTATCTTTCCTAAACCTAACCTGAAACTTGCCAGCTATTCCATTCTATAACGCAATACATAAATAGCCATATTTTTTTGATGATTGCAATATAATTTGCCTGGTGTAAATAACATGCTTACTGATTATTTCAAGGTCATTGACGCTGTCACTCTCCATTGGTACTTACTAGTGCATAAATAATGACTGGAGTACCTATGGTTTCATAAGTTTTGCACTTGCTTAACACTATCAGTCTTTAGAGGATGTAGTAAGCCATCTTCTCCTTGAGTGTGCAAATTTTTTAGCAGCCCGTCGGACGTCCTCGTCGAAGAGGTCGTACGACTAATGTTCAAGAAATTGACAAAACCCTCAGATGAGGGAAAAAAGCCAGCATTTAAAATCGATGGCAGGAATGACGATTCTGAACTGAGTCATAAGACTGAGAAAGAACCATATCCAGAAGCGCTAGACATAAAAGAGGCACAGTGTGCCAGAAAGTCTGCAACGGTATGGAAAAAGTCTTGAAAATCTAAGAGGGCAAGTAGTGCCAGCATTGACCACAAGATGGTACTACCACGACGAAGCGTAGCGTCTGGTGAACGTATAGTTTCTAGCTGTGGCGAGAGCAAAGTGGAAGAAACTAATTCCACATGGTTAGTGCTGAAAAGCAGGAAGCCGAAAAACTAAATGAAATAGAAAGCAACTGAGCTTAGTAACAAGGTGTGGACGGCCGTAAATTCTAATACGATTTCGAAACCTTCGGATTCACATTGCAGTATCATTATTTGGAACTTAGAGGAACCGAAGAAAGTAGATGCAGCTGACCGATGTGCTGATGATCTCGAGGCAGTTAGCTCCACTTTTCGTGAAGTACTTCCCGAAAAAACAAATGGAGTCCACATAATAAAGGTCATCAGAATCGGCAAACGAAATACCGACGCCATGGAAATTTCCCGACGACTACTGAAGATAGTACTGAGCAACGAGGTGCCAAAAGCATTATTCTCAACAACGCATTTAAGATAAAGGGCAAAAGGCTGAGAACAAACCCTGATCGGCCGTTAGAAGATAGAGTTAAAAGAAAAGAAACCGTGGTGCAACTAAAGGCCCAACTAGAAAAAGCGGAAAAACACCTTAAACTGTTGGGTTTTTGGGTGATTAGGTTTCGGAAACCTATGTCGCCCAGACCTCTGTTTGTAAGTCGAGTGAACACGTAGGTCTTCCAGTGTGCTATACGAACGCGTTCGTTCTTTGGAATGAGCCCCCTGAATTAGGAGTATTATCTGAAAGACAACAACCTGATATGATTGATACCACTGAAACATAGTTGTTAGTGGCTGTAGACTTCAATCATACCTGAGTACATCTGCATTAGAACAGACAGAGTAATTAGTTGGAAAGATTGTGGGGTTTTCCCATACATCCGGGATAATATAGGAAATAGGTCAACACTGTCAGAAGCGCATAATAGCGGCTCTAGTGAAGCCGCAAGCTGTGTCATTAACCTGAACAAGGGCACTGTGACGATTGGGGTTATTTTTTAGAAGTCCTGCCAACCAAGTTGATGTTTTCATACTAAATCGCCTCAGGACGTTGAGTAGTAGATATGTGTCTAATAGTGGACGACTGTAATGCCCCACATACTAATTGAGAGGAATTAACATCTACTAGCTTGTATACCTGTTTCAGCATAAGACATATACTGACAGTGCTTGAATGTGCACTTGGGCAGCACATACCAACACGATACCTCCCTGAACATGATCCGTCTACTCTAGACGGTGCAAATATACCAGAAGGGAGATGTCGGTGATATTAGATGCCTTCTGCCGCTAGGCAGTAGTGACCATGTAGTCATCACTTTTACGTTTAAGATTTACACTTTCATACATAGGTCAACAGCTGTTCGTCAAATATTGGGAAAGCGAATATAGCTGCAATCTGAAACGTAGCTACCCTAGCTGACTGGTCAGTTGATACAAATCGGACTGTCGAGAAGGCTTGGGTAGAAATTTGGAATACGCTCGATTGCGTCACTACACCTTTTGCACCTTGGTCTACGCCTCGAAAACTATCTCATAAACCACCTTGGATTAGTAATCAAATAAGGAGGTTATTAAGACAGTGAAAGAACTTATGGGACCGGTTAACTGTGACAAGAAGGGAGGGGTTTTGGATAGGATACCACAAAATCCGAAACCTTTGTAAGAATATTATTAACAAAAGTTGTATAGAGTATAGGAGACAGTTAGTACTGGATTGTGTACATTATCCAAAAAGACTGTACTCTTATATTATATATTAAACGTAGGACTACAACTAGTAGTGGTATACCGTCACTCATAAGCAGTACTGGAGAGGCGGTCGTGTCAAACGAAACAAAAGTTGAAAAGCTCTTGGAATACTTTTTGACGTCTTTTCGTCTAATCGTACCAACCAGGGGTATAGCAAGGTCACTGTCATCGCCATCATAATGCCCTCAATTGTGGTAGAGCACACAAAGGTCCTCAAACTACTGTCTAAACTGGAGCCAGGTAAATCACCTGGACCCGATGGACTTCACCCTAAACTGTTAATTTCCT